TCTCCTTCTGCCACCAACTGGGAGTCCCGTGGAGTATGGTCGAAGGCTTTCACGGCCAGAGTCACTGGGTCGTTGTAGGTTTTTCAGTCTGTATGGCCATGTTCTAGAAGCATTCTCTCCTGACATTTTGCCTGCATCTATGGCAGGCATCCGCCTGCCATAGATGCAGGCAAAACGTCAGGAGAGAATGCAACCCAGTCCCTTGAAGTTTCCATTTTGGAAGATTTTAAAGCAGGGGCTGGATGGACATCTGTCATGAAGGATTGGTTTGTCCCTTTCCTACATGGCAGAAGGCGGGGGGTGGACTGGATTGCTCCTGGAGTCTCTTCCAACTCTAGGATTCTGGCATTCTCTCATTATCTCTATCCATCCATCCATCCATCCATCCATCCATCCATCCATCTGGCCATCCATCCATCCATCTATTCATCTATCTATCTCTCTATATTTCTATCTTTTTATCTATCTGTCTATCTGTCTGTCTGTCTGTCTATTCATCTATCTATCTGTCTGTCTGTCTGTCTGTCTGTCTGTCTGTCTGTCTATCTATCTATCTATCTATCTATCTATCTATCTATCTATCTATCTATCTCGCTATCTCTCTATCATCCCATCCATCCCATCTTCTATCTATCTATCTATCTATCTATCTATCTATCTATCTATCTATCTATCTATCTATCTATCTATCATCTATCTATCTATCTATCTATCTATCTATCTATCTATCTATCTATCTATCTATCTATCATCCCATCCATCCCATCTATCTTTCTGTCTGTCTGTCTGTCCGTCCGTCCGTCCGTCCATCCATCCATCTTTGGGAATTTGACTGGATGGCCCTTGGTGCCTCTTCCAGCTTTATGATTCTACCCTCTATTTGGCTGTCTTTCTCTCTCTTTCTAATCCCTCTCTAATCTATCTATTTATCCACCCAATCATCCATCCTGGCACCTGTCCCTCCATATATTTACCTATTTATCTATTTGTCCATATGTCCTTCTAACTATCTATCTGTTATCTATCTATCTATCTATCTATCTATCTATCTATCTATCTATCTATCCATCTATCTATCTATCTATCCATCCCTTAGGGGGTTGGATTGGGTGATCCTTGGCGTCTCTTCCAACTCTAGAATTCAATAATCTGTCTGTCTATCCATTCATCTGTCCATCTGTCCAGCCATCTGTCTGTCCATTTATCTGTTCATATATCCATCCATCCATCCATCTCTCTCTCCCTTTCATCTGTATCTGTCTGTCTGTCAGTCCATCCATCTATCTCAGGGGTTGGACTGGATGGTCCTTGGGGTCTCTTCCAACCATCTGTCTGTCCATTTATCTTTTTGTCTTTCTTTCTTTCTTTCTATCCATCCCTCCCTCCCTCCCTCTCTCCCTTTCATCTGTATCTGTGTGTTGGTCAGTCCATCCATCTATCTATCTCATAGGGGTTTGGACTGGATTGCCCTTTATGTATCTCCCAACTCAAGCATTCAATCATCTGTCTATCTATCCATCCATCTATCTGTCTTTCCATTGTCCTGTCCATCCGTCTGTCCGTTTACCTGTCATTTAGTTGTCTGTCTCTCCATCCATCCATCCATCCATCCATCCATCCATCCATCCATGCATCCATCTCTCCCTCCCTTTCATCTGTATCTGTGTGTCTGTCAGTCTATCCATCTATCTCATAGGGGTTTGGACTGAATGGCCCTTGGGGTCTCTTCCAACTCTAGAATTCAATCATTTTTCTGCCTGTCTATCCATTCATCTGTCCATCTGTCCACCCATCTGTCAGTCCATTTATCTGTTTGTGTATTGATCCATCTCTCCCTCCCTCTCTTTCATCTGTATCTGTCTGTCTGTCCATCCACTTATCTCTCAGGGGGTTGGACTGGATGGCCCTTTGTGTATCTCCCAACTCAAGCATTCAATCATCTGTCTATCTATCCATCCATCTTTCTATCTGTCCTTCCATCGTCCTGTCCATCTGTCTGTCCATTTACCTGTCATCTAGTGGTCCGTCTCTCCATCCATCCATCCATCTCTCCCTCCCTTTCATCTGTATCTGTGTGTCTGTCAGTCCATCTATCTATCTCATAGGGGGTTGGACTGGATGGCCCTTTGTGTATCTCCCAACTCAAGCATTCAATCATCTGTCTATCTATCCATCCATCCATCCATCCATCCATCCATCCATCCATCCATCTATCTGTCTTTCCATTGTCCTGTTCATCCGTCTGTCCATTTACCTGTCATTTAGTTATCCGTCTCTCCTTCCATCCATCCATCCATCCATCCATCCATCTCTCCCTCCCTTTCATCTGTATCTGTGTGTCTGTCAGTCCATCTATCTATCTCATAGGGGGTTGGACTGGATGGCCCTTTGTGTATCTCCCAACTCAAGCATTCAATCATCTGTCTATCTATCCATCCATCCATCCATCCATCCATCTATCTGTCTTTCCATTGTCCTGTTCTTCCATCTGTCCATTTACCTGTCATTTAGTTATCCATCCATCCATCCATCCATCCATCCATCCATCTCTCCCTCCCTTTCATCTGTATTTGTGTGTCTGTCAGTCCATCCACCTATCTCATAGAGGTTTGGACTGGGTGGCCTTTTATATATCGTCCAACTCAAGCATTCAATCATCTGTCTATCCATCTATCCATCTATCCATCTATCTATCTATCTATCTATCTATCTATCTATCTATCTATCTATCGATCCATCCATCCATCCATCCATCCATCTGTCTATCTGTCCTTCCATCCACCTGTCCATCCACCTGTCCATTTATGTGTCGTCTAGCTGTCCATCTCTCCATCCATCCATCCATCCATCCATCCATCTATCTTTCTGTCTCATGGGGTTGGAATGGATGGCCCTTGCAGGGTCTCCCAGTTCTAGGATTCAGGAGGGTGGCTTGGAGGGTGTCCTGTTGCTGAGCCCCACTCCCAAAAAAAAAATGCTTGAGGAGCCCCTTCTTTGAAGGCAGTGCTTCACCAGAACCCGCCCCCCCCCCCGCCCTTGCTGCTTCCTCCCCTGCAGCTGTCGCCGGTGCCTGGGTGCCCGTTCCCGCTCTCTGCTGGGCGCCCTGCTCTTCTCCTCGGGGGTCTGGATGCTGGGGGTCCTGCTCCGCCGCCAGGCCCTGCGACTGCTGCTCTCCTACCATGGTTGGATGTTCGAGCCTCACGGAAAGATCGGCCGGAGCACCAAGATCTGGGCCGTGAGTCTCTGGGGCGGGCTGTGTGTCTGTGGGCATCTTCTCTTCCGGGGCCTCGTGTCTTGGGATGCCTTTCCACTGGAGAATGAACACAGTGTGAGCCCAATTTAACTGTTGCAGCTCAAGTCTATGGGACCCTTGGAGTTGTAGTTAGGTGCATCTACACCAGGCGTGGCCAAACTTGTCAGGGGTCCCCAAAAGGCACTTGGGATTCAAGCTGACCCCTGGAATTTTGCAGCCATAGATACGAGTGTTCTCCGTAACATGCACGCTGCACTGCATCTTATCTGCTCTTCCCTTGCCTTTGTGCTTTTTCAATCAAGCATACCGGAATGGTAAATCCTTTATTTGTACTTCCAGCTATTTATAGTTACTTACAGAGAGGTAGTCGTGAGAGAAAAGAGAGAACAAGCACATGTTCTGGCTTTATAAATCATTGCCCCTCCTAGCTTATCCCTGTTGACACCCCCAGACGTGACATCTGGGCTGGTCACTGTTGCCCGGCCGGATATGACATTTCTGGTCCAGCCTCTCCATGTACTAAATATGTATGTATTTATTTACTATATTTGTATACTGCCTTTCTCAGCCCACGGGTGACTCAATAATTTAACTCCTCAGTTACCCGTGTCTTGGGAATTATTTTTCCTGGCCTATAACTCCACAAAAACTTTGTTCCTCTAGGTGTTGTGGATTCCAACTCCAACAATTCCTAATAGCTGGTAGGCTGTCAGTGGCGTCGGCAGCACAGCAAGGCAGGAACAGATCAATCACAGCCACCTTAAGCTAATAACTACTTTATTTTACAGCTATATACATTAGAAGCTACTTAACACTCAGTAAACTTGCTTCTTTACCATCCGATCATAACATTGTGAACTTCCTAACTGTTATCAGTACTAGTCCACACCTCCTGCATTCCAGAGTGACGTGTGACACACGATGCAGGATGCTGCTATACACTTGATTTATGACCTCTCTAGGAATGCCGTTCCCTCCATGGTTCAGTTAACTCTTTCCACACAGGAATATATTACACTCGGCACATAGCTACTGCATTTTAAACATACATCTATACTTTGAAATCTACATTATACATTGCAAACAGCTTCAACATAGGCTGTTAAGAATTGTGGGAGTTAACATCCAAAACACCCAGAGGGCTGAATTTTGCCCATGCCAGATGTACACTGTGGAATGAATACAGTCCAACCCCACTTGAACTGCCATGTCTTAATGCTATGGGAGTTGTAGTTTTGCAAGGCCCGTAATCCTGATGTCTCACCAAACTCCCCAGGTTTCCATCGCATTGAGCCACAGCAGTGAAAGTGGTGGCAAACTGCATTCCTTCCACCAGAGTAGATGCAACCTGGGAGACTGGGGTTGCGTCTACACTGTCGAGTTAATGAAGTTTGACACCGCTTTAAGCTGCCATGGCTCCAGGCAATGGAATCCGAGATGCTGCATTTTTGCAAAGCCATTTCTGCAACCGTTGCTGGTGCCTCAGCAGAGTATTTGCAGGAAAGCCATGGATGGGCAAAGTTCTAACGAAATGAAGGATTTCTGGCCCAAGAATATAGTTTGTGGTCAGCACAAGCAACGGTGGCTGTGGCCTAAGGCTGCTTCTTTGGCTGCTTGATGCACTGACCTCTCTCTCCCCCCCCCCCTTGACCCCACTCCCCTTTTCCAGGCTGCGGTCAGGGTGATGTCCGGACACCATCCCATGCTGTACAGCTTCCAGACCTCTTTGCCCAAGCTGCCCGTTCCTCGGGTGGCTGACACCATCCAGCGGGTAAGTGGAAGGTCAGCGGCCAAATTGGACCATATTGGGGAAGGGGCAATGTTATGGAGTCCTGGGAGTTGTAGTTTGGAGAGAGATATAGGATGCATCCACTTGGACTGCTATGGCTCCACTTGGACTGCTATGGCCCAATGCTATGGAGCCCTGGGAGTTGTAGTTTGGAGAGAGATATAGGATGCATCCACTTGGACTCCTATGGCTCCACTTGGACTGCTATGGCCCAATGCTATGGAGCCCTGGGAGTTGTAGTTTGGAGAGAGATATAGGATGCATCCACTTGTACTGCTATAGCTCAGTGCTATGGAGCCCTGGGAGTCATAGTTTGGAGAGAGATATAGGATGCATCCACTTGGATTGCTATGACTCCACTTGGACTACTATGGCTCAGTGCTATGGAGCCCTGGGAGTCGTAGTTTGGAGAGAGATATAGGATGCATCCACTTGTACTGCTATAGCTCAGTGCTATGGAGCCCTGGGAGTCATAGTTTGGAGAGAGATATAGGATGCATCCACTTGGATTGCTATGACTCCACTTGGACTACTATGGCTCAGTGCTATGGAGCCCTGGGAGTCGTAGTTTGGAGAGAGATATAGGATGCATCCACTTGGACTCCTATGGCTCCACTTGGACTGCTATGGCCCAATGTTATGGAGCCCTGGGAGTCATAGTTTGGAGAGAGATATAGGATGCATCCACTTGGATTCCTATGACTCCACTTGGACTATTGTGACTCAATGCTATGGAGCCCTGGGAGTCGTAGTTTGGAGAGATATAGGATGCATCCACTTGGACTACTATGGCTCAATGCTATGGAGCCCTGGGAGTCGTAGTTTGGAGAGAGATACAGCATGCATCTACACTGTAGAGTGAATGCAGGTTGATTCCACTTGGACTGCTATGGCTCAATGCTATGGAGCCCTGGGAGTCATAGTTTGGAGAGGCAGCCACAGGTCATTCTTGGGCTTATAGAGGGGTCCAGAAGAGGCTTGATTCTCCTCAAAAGCCCCTTGCCCAAAGCCCCCTCCTTTCCCCTCCAGTACCTGGACTCCGTCCGCCCGCTGCTGGACGACGAGCGATTCCTGGACATGGAGGCCCTGGCCCTGGACTTCGAGCAGCGCCTGGCCCCCCGGCTCCAGAAGTACCTCCTCCTCAAGTCCTGGTGGGCCACCAACTACGTGAGTCCCAGAGGTCATTGGTCAGCACCATTCTCCAGAAGGGACCCCCAAAGACCGTTGAGTCCAACCCCATTCTAACATGTTAGGATGGTGTCCAATCCAAGCCATCCTGACAGGTGGTCATCCATCCTTTGTTTAAAAACTTCTAGAGAAGGAGACTCCGCCAGACCCTCAGTCAATCCATAATCCACTAGAGTTGGAAGCCTTCCCCCCAAAAGGCCATCTAGTCCTTCTGTCATTCAGGAAGACACCACCTGAACCCTCCTGGCAGACGACCACCCAGCCTTTCTCCTCCTTCTGCATTTTGCCCCTTCCTCAAGCCGTCACCAGCTTGTTCTCTGCCCCTTTCTTTGTTTCCCTCTTTCCCTCTCAGGTGAGTGACTGGTGGGAGGAGTACATCTACCTGCGAGGAAGGAGCCCCATCATGGTCAACAGCAACTACTACGTCATGGTGAGCACGTTGGGGGGCTTCAGAGAGGCAAGATTTATGGGTGCCTCAGCTCCTCAACCATCACCAACAGTCTCAACGTCCCATTTTCTCTCTTTCCTTGGCCAGGACTTCCTATACGCCACTCCAACCCACCTCCAGGCCGCCCGCGCCGGAAACGCCGTCCACTCCATTCTCCTCTACCGACGCCGGCTGGACCGGGAGGACTTGGCCCCTGTGAGTCACACCACAAGGAGACCCCCCCCCAATAGTGGGTGCCAAAGAAGGGGATCCCCAGAACTGAGAGATCTTTGGGGACACCTTGTCATGAAATGGAAGGGTTTCTTCACCCAGCGTCTGAGTCAGGGGCAAACATAGATTGACAACATGAGCAGTCCAACACTGAGGAACCCAGTCCCAAGGAAATAGGGATACAGAATCAGGCAGGATCGGGAGCTTCAGGAAGCAAATTAAGTTTTCCAGCTAGGCTGCAATGGAGAACTGACAGAATTCAACTGAGGAGATCCAGTTGGTTGAGTGAGAGGAGGGCCAACAGGTGGGATCACTTGGGAAAGTGGCATAAGTAGCTGGAGGCTGGATCAGTTAGTTGCTGGAAGCAACGTTGGTGAAATTGTTACAGCCTGAATCTCTGCTGGTGAACCTCGACTTAGGTGTGTGGAATACGTTTTGGCTTGCAGCCTTGGTGTTGGTGAGATTACTTGGCTTTGAACATTTTTGAAAGGACGTTGGACTATTCTTGGGTCTCACCCTTATTTTGACTGACTGCTGTTGTTCTGTCGCGCGCTGGGCCTGTAAAGAATTTCCTTTAGAACAGGACGTGCGACTTGAGCCCAGCAGGAAGCC